CCGCCCTGCCTGGCTGGCAGGGCGCTACAACGACCTCACAACAAAAAGGAAACAAAAAAAACGATATGATTCACTTTCCTCACATACTGGCCAGATACATTCCGCAAAGGAATGGTGTAACTTGAGCTCCCCACGTACGTGGATTCAAAGCTCCTCGTTTCTTTTCTTTTTTTTTTATTCTTTTTTCTTTTCCTCTTTTTTTTTTTTTCTTCTTTTTTCTTTTCCTGTTTTCTTGGCTCCATCCGCGTTTGCCTGTGAAAGGTGGCTGTGGCCGAGACATTTCGGCCGTGGCCCATCTGGGGTGTGGCCGAGACATCTCGGCCGTGGCCCATCTGGGGTGTGGCCGAGACATCTCGGCCATGTCCCACCCATGGGGCTGTTTTTTTTTTTTTCTTTCCAGCCGCGGCACGGGCCATATGCCTGACTGAACTGCTAGAAAATGCCACCCTGAGTTTTTGAAACTCGGGGCCTGACTAAACTGCTAAAACGAAGTTTGAGATGCAATTACAAACTGTAACCCTGACTGCGCCGTAGTTATTTCAAAAAAGAAAGTTGACAATTATTGGTTTCCGAAGCTGCGTCACACAACAGCCACATGAAAGGACATGGGGAGCCTTCTCAGGGTCAGACAAGAACAGCCTTGGAAAACTGCAAAGAATGAAAACTGGCAGAAATACATAAGAGTTTTTGAAACGAGATGAATAATATCATTGTCATACTAATTCTTTTTTCTTCTTACTACGTTGGGATTTGATTTCACATGCACAATTAAATGTCAATAGGATAGCCTGCATGCTACTGGGGCTAGTGCTCTGAGCAATTGCTCATCTTTTTTTTTTTTTTTTTTTTTTTTTTTTTTTTTTTTTCTTTTTGTTTTGGCTAACCATCCAAGACAGGTCTTTTTGCTGTGGTAGGGATGGGTTTGGCCGGGAGTGCCTTGCCCAGCCCAACAGACCATGGCATAAATGCAAGGGACGCCGGACCCGGTTTCCGGCAGAAAGGGATGGAAAAAATAAATGTCATCCCGTTCAGCCGTGCGTTTGATAAAACGTATTTGGAATCTACTATTCATCTTTTTTTTTTAATACTAAATAGTAAACTAATAATCAATAAATACAGATTCATCTTACACCATATCTCAGAAAAGAGTGGGAATTTTATTTTACGTCATACTAACAAGCCCGGTAGTATTTATTTCGTAACCGAATTTCCAAAAGAACCCCCAACGCCCCCCCTACTCAGACAACTAATTAGCGGTTGCAACTTCCAACATGTAATTAGCTACTCAGAAAACTAAATGGACACTAATTGGAGACCATAGGAAATGTATCACAAATCTAAGAGAACTCCATTTCCGGACACATTGAGTACTCCGAAGCGACGACCTAGGAGCACAGACAAGCACACAAGCACGCAAGCACACAAGCACGCAAGCACACAAGCTTTTAACGAAGAGCTAAGAACAGTTCAAAGTATATTCCTAACTACTTTCTTCTCCCAAAACAACCGACGTAAGAATGGTACAACCGGTACGGCGCGGAGTTACTTAGTACCCACGACTCTCTGTGGGAACAAAACCGCTCCGGCTGAAGGTTCATCACCCACCATCCCATATAGCCAGTCATTCTTCCATCACCGTCGCCAACTGCCGCCAGCACCGTTAGCATCACCGTTGGTGTCACCGTTAGAATCACTAGATTTGTCACACCGTCCTCGGTGGGGGACCACCAATCGTTTACTAGTCTGCGTCTCGGTCTTCTTGGCGGCTGAGCCTCTCTCTTTCAAATAGACAATGCTATTGGCAGGATTGTAGGCAATGAACTCGGCATTCCTAAGGACTCGTCAGATTTGCTATACGGTTACAGCAACGGAAGCGGAGGAGGAGGAGGAGAGGTGGGTCGTGAACGCGGGAAGTTGTCAAGAGCAGAGGACTAGACTGGGGCGGAAGCGAGGGACCCCGAAAGAGTACTTCCAGGGAGGGTTTCAGAAGCCTTAGGGGGGGGTTCAGAAGGGGGGTTTTCAGAAAGGGGGTTTTCAGAAGGGGGGGTTTCAGAAAGGGGGTTTTCAGAAGGGGGTGGGGAGAGAGATAATTCGGTGGGGGGGGGTTCTGACACGGTCTCGTTGTCAGTAATTGCTACAGTCGAGGGGGAGGAAGGCTCAGGTTCGGACCCGCTTTTCTCCGGCAAGGTAGAGATCTCTTCTAAGGGGGGGGATCCCGGGAATGAGCTACTAGGCGAAATGCTGGGCGAGGGGGTCGAAGGATGTGTTGTTGCTACCCCTCCGGGCCCTCCCCCCCCCCCGCACTTGTGTAATGCGGACTCATTGATCTGAAATTGGAACATCTGGCCCGCGTTTGACCCAGCGTACAGGACCAAATTGCCCTCCTTGTCATTCCCAAGGCTCAGTCCGCTAAGCGGTATACCGCCAAGGGGGGTTCCCGAGGTGGGCCCACTAGTGGCCGCCGCAGTGGACACGTGGACGGCGCCGCCGCACGTGGCATTCAGTTGAATCCAACGGATGTGACCGCTGCTCTCCGAGACGAACAGATTGCAGCCATCTGGCGAGGCGACGAGCTCCCGCAGACCGTCGAACTGCGCCGTCTCGATCCCGCCATCGGCGTCTCCCGCCTTTCCTGTCCCGGCAACATGAGTCGGGACCTTGCCCGATTCCGGCTCGATTGCCCAAATCTGGTTCAGATTCCGATCTACGAAATAGAGACATTTCCCGCTCGGGTCAAAGCCTGTCTCTTATACACATCTAGATGTGTATAAGAGACAGCCCGCAGACCGTCGAACTGCGCCGTCTCGATCCCGCCATCGGCGTCTCCCGCCTTTCCTGTCCCGGCAACATGAGTCGGGACCTTGCCCGATTCCGGCTCGATTGCCCAAATCTGGTTCAGATTCCGATCTACGAAATAGAGACATTTCCCGCTCGGGTCAAAGCTCTGCGGACCGAAATTGGCGCCAGATATTTTCGGTTCCCCGCCAACTCCGACGAACCCCGCCATCTGGTCGAACTTCACCGGCGGCGGCGGGTTGCCGCCGCCGTTGCTGTCGGTATCCGCCGCCAGAAGGCTGGAAAAAGGCGGGAAGGAATCGGACACCCACAGCTGCGTTGTTTTGGCGGGATTGAAAGCCAAACTCTGCACGTTTGGCACATTGGTGATGGCGGACGATCGGCTGCCGTTCGACGTGAACATGAAGATGAGCTTGGACCTGTCTTGGTCCTCCGTGGTCGCACCGAGGAGGAGCCTCGACGTGTCGTTGGGGACAAGATCCATGCCGTACACGTGCGCCGTGGGCGGCGAGTACGCGTCCTCGGGATCGACGACGATGGGAAACTTAACGGCCGCCGTTGACTGAGCGTAACTGTGCCACCAGTTGCTGATAAGCTCGGGGGTGGCCGTTCCGTTAACGGCCGCCGTTTGCAGATCGACCTTCCAATAAGAGAGCATCCACTTCGTGGTCTTGTTGGCGGGAACAGTGACGCAGTGCTCATCGAGGATGTAGTACAAGACTCTGGAGCTGGGAGCATGCACGATGTTCCGAATCTCGGTTTCGCACTTGAGCGGCGACAGCTTCGTCGAGATATTAAACGGCTTTCTCAGAGGGTGTTCAACGACGACAGAGGACTGATTACCTTCAATGAGCGGCTGTGCGACCGTCAGATCCAAAGCATCATCCTCCATAGATCGGCGGTGGACGTTGTCTTGCAGCCCTCGAAGGAAGCGGACGTCAACGGAACGGTCACCTGTGAAGAAAGAATCTCGAACTCCCGACGGAGAGAAAAGCCAGTGGTTCGCTGGCGATTCACTTTGCCCTCCTCCTCCTCCTCCTCCTCCTCCTCCTTCTACCCGTTGAAGTACGTGTCCGGACGTGAAGAGTATTGCAAGCAGCAGCAGAAGACCGGGAGCCAGGCTCCGCCTTGAGGGAGAGCGAGCTATGGTGGAACGCGCACCGCCGCCATAGCTCATCTGCGAAGCGGCACCCCACCGCTTATCCATAATGATATCCAAGACCGATGAGGACGACGTTTGCAAGCTGACGTAGGTGAACTTGATCAATGACGAAGAAATCCCTCCGCTTCGCTCGCAAAACGCTCACCCTGTCGCCAATAGAACACAATAATTAACGACGAAGTTATTATTTGTCAGGTTTTCATGGGTGAAAAAGAGTAGAATGAATTCGCTTCGGGTCCCTCCTTTTTTGGACCTTTTATCCTTCCTCCTTTGTTTTTGTTCTTCGTTTTTTTTATGGAATTTCAGCCATACTCGTCTCGATCTGTTAGTCATCGTTCCGATTACCTCAGCCCAACTTATTATCATGTGAAGGATTTTTTAACCTAGCTAAAGGCCTTTCTTCTGTCTTTTTTACCCAGTTGTTTATTGCAGACATGAATCTGAGATTTTCTATTATTTTTCATTTTTAATGGATAATCTGTGATATCGAGAAGGGGGAAAGCTGTCATCTTTCGCAAAAATAAGAAAACGAGAAAAACGGCTCAGGTTCTTTTTACTCTGTGTTTTTGTTTTTGGCTTTTTTGGCGTCCGGGAGAACGGCATTCGTACCGCGTTCCCGTCAATGGAACGCAGGGTTATTATATCTGTATATGGCGCAGCTTTCAGTCTACATACAGCGATAATGACCGTGCCTTCTACTTGGGCGAACCCGCCAGGCTTCTCTTTCTTTTCTGGCGTAGAAAAACCTGGGAGCACAAACTGGCCTTAAAAAAATAATAATAATACTTAAAAAAAATAAAAAAATAAAATAAAATAATAATAATAATAATAATAAAATAAAACTGGCCTACCAAGCTTTCAATTGGTACACCCCTCTGAACTGAACTGTTAAAATACAGACCTGAGCTTGAACTCACTGAAGTCAAATGACTAAAATACTACAATCTTGAATTTCCTAGGACCGCTCAGTTGGATGATCATATGTCAAGATTTATTTTATTTTATTTTTTATAAAAAGAATAAAAAGTGGGAGCAAACAAGT